GACCTTGGTGCTTCAGGCAGTAGCGATGATGGAAGCTCATCAAGCTCATCTTTCCAATAAAAGATATCGTTCATCAAATTCGGTAAGTTATAAGTAATTATAAAGCTACTGTATTTTTTAATTAATTATTGACATTTTTGAACCCATTTTGGCAAAACCTATTCAAGAATCTACTTTCTGACAGTGTTCAACCATGCACATTTTTTTACGTTTTGAACGTTTTAATTTGGTTACATATTTACCTAGAAATCAAAAAATATACTAATCAATATTCTAAAAGCAATTTTAAGAGATATACGATTATTTTTAATTTAGGCTAATTTAAACGCCATTTTGAGATTATATTCGACTGTATTTCACCAAACATCAGGCGGCATCCGAAGCTGGAAATCGAAGCGAAAATTTTGAAACCCTTATGTATATTTACATCATTATATATTTCTTACCCCACCCCCACATGATCCTATATCCATCACCAATCGTATACACATCGAATTGTGCTAATTTACTACAAAGTTACGCAAAGCAGCATCTACTATCTAAAATATGTACTGCGTGACTCTTAATACGTCCCTGCCGAATGTTACAGCGTTCGATGATCACGTGGTCTTGTTTATGTCCGGTCTATCTCTTATCTGAATATACTGTATGCTGTAAGAATATTTTGAGAACCTCATTTTAGAGTAAATATGCTGCAAAAAACAAATTTGCATTCCACACGACATTAAGCCAGCATTTTGGTGTTCAGACAACAACAATAGAGAGCTTTTCCGGCTGAACAGTTCTTTTAGCAAAAGCTATAGCACTACTTTGCTAGTTGGGTTGTGCTTCTTTGATGCTAAGAACTCCGTGTAACTGTCTTTCCGTAGTGGATGCCTAGTTTTAGATAACATGCGTGAATTTATAAAAAGCCGCCGGTTCTAGATTTTCATCGATGCAGGGTAATTCAAATTTGAGGCATTTATATGTAACAAGCAAAGACATTGCTTGTGTCTACCCCGGAAAAAGCTGCTGCAAGAACTGCTTGAGTAACAGCGGTAAAATGTCAGCAGACGCTGTAGCTTTTGATAGTGTTTTGATATAAAACCAAGCTCGCCTGATTTGTAAAATTAATCATTTTTTGATACCACATCCTAAATATCAAGTATATTCTGGCTTTCCATGTTTTTCTTCGAATTCAAACAATTTTCCATGCGCCCAACTATTCGCTGAATGGCTGAACCAGTTAGGCTGAATAAGGCGACAAGAGCTTTCCAAGGCAGCAGAAACAGCGGTGTTGTCTAACTCCCGAAATGTCAAAATATGGACAGATACGCATTGCGCTTCGTTGGTGATAGACGCGTGCATTGATTGGGCATTAACAACAATGAATGCCCATTTCGGGTAGCTCATTGCAGCCCATACACAAAGATTCTCTCCCGTCATTCTTCATGTTTGTCATTGTTTCCTTGTGTATGTACATCTCTCCTTGCTAGTCACTATCATCGCCAGGTCGTGAGTATATCCCTTCAGGCGAATACTCGGCCACATCTGCAACCGAAGAGCCTCATCGTAGAACACTTTTTGAAGCAGCGGCACTAGGACAAAGGCATGTGGCACCCTTATGGTTATCCGGATCGTCATTGGGCTTAGCATAAGTTGTTAATAAGCAACGGCCCCAGAACAGAGCTATGTGGCACACTTATGCTTACCCTCATCGTCACTGTCCCTATCATAAGTTATCAATAAGCTACGATCCTAGGACAGTGCCCTGTGGCACTCTAACGCTTAACCTCATTGTCATTGTCTCTACCATTACATGTGAATATTCTCATTTTAACGTCTTTCCCTGTTAAATGAAGAGCATGACGGGCTGGGCAAGGTTGATATAAGAACAAACCTATTATGGTATTTGCAATAACTAAAAAAAGCTTAAAAAAAACTACCAGTCCAAAACAAACATTAGCAAATCCTGGAACCTGAAGCTGGAATCAAGGTCTTTGCTTCCCTAAGCCTCAGCAATACGGTTGTTAAACAGGTATTATTCGTCGACGTTTAAAAAATATTTCTTGTTATCGTTTAGCTTCCACAATAACAATAATGCTTGTGTCAATCTGTAGCAAATTTCATTACATTCTATGCTGATTTGGATAATAAAGCAGCTAGCTCTACATTCCACTCATACTGTATATCGGGGTTTCCCAACTTTTTTTTGTTGAGGCTTCCCGGACTATAAATTGTATTTTCATGCCCCCCTTTACTTTTTCAATAAATACGAAAAACGCAAATTGTGTAGGTACAAAGACCTTTATTTTGATTCTAATGAAGAAACTGTAAAAGTTTAAATAAACTAATAAATGTTTATTATCCAAAAACTTGAATAAAATAATAGTAGGTACTAATGAGACACTTGAGATTGCATGTTCTCTACCAGTTGGTTGATTCTAGGCTCTGTTGTTGCCAGAGCTACCATCAGGTCGCTATCGACATCAAGCCGATTTCGCTGTTTAGTTTTAATTAAAACTAGAGCAGAAAAGCCTGTCTCACATAAGTAAGTTGAAGAAAAAAGATCTAGTATTCGTAAAGCAAGGGAGGCAAGTGTCGAATTTACAGGCAATCTTTTGATCCAGTTTCTCCAATGTTACAAGATGGAAGTCATCTTTCATGGACGAATCAGCCTTCATTTCTAAAAATTCTTCCTGAACTTCTTCTGGTAATTGTGACACATCGACAACAAATGGATTTCTTGTCATGTGCCATATTGGTGACTCTGAATTGATGTTTCGATAGTATTGGCGAAATTCGTCTTCCAGCGCTTGCAAATGAGTTTTTTTGTCGGCTTTTAAATTTGAGTCCAGTATGTTATTTTTAATTACTTCGAACAGCCGAGAAAGAGATATATCATTTTCAGAAGACACTTTTTGATTCCAAAGTTGAAACTTTGATATGAACCCCTGAATATAGGTAATCATAATTGCCCATTATAGTGCTGTTTCTGCCCTGAAGTTTCAAGTTTATCTCATTCAAGGAGTCAAATATGTCAGTTAAATAAGCCATCCTCCAGCGAAATGTGTCATCTTTGAACATTGTCAAGAAATCGTGTTTTTTCCTCGAGCTTTTTAGCTAAGCCGGATCGTACATCTATCATTGCAGGTGCGCCATCTGTGCAAAGTCCAATAAGTCTACCAATCCAAATCACTTTTTTCAACAAAATTTGATATTGAATTAAATATATAGTACGAGTCCCTTCCCACTTCAGTTTGCTCACTTCAAGATTTCTACCAAAATATGCCTTTATAAACTAAACATGACGAAACTATTTACTTCTAAAACAATTTATTTTCTCAAACACATTTTAGATACATTCTAGTCGTAAAAAATACATATTTGAAATCACTTAGACCTATAACTAATAGAACATCTGAACAAATAAACAATGTGCGAAGTTAACAAAACAACAATTGAAAGATTACCATTGGGTAACATGACCTTTATTTTTTATTAGCTGAAATTCTTTGGGGCATAGTGTTAACCAAGTTTTGACAAAAATTTGGAGTAAAACAATCCCACATTTCTTGAAGCTTTTGTCTCAGTTCGGTGATTGTACGAGCAGGATGTGGTCGTAGAACCTTTTTCATCTCGTGCCACAAAGTTTCAATAGGTGACAGATCTGGACTGCTAGAAACCCATTTCAAAAGTGGTACATTATTTTATTCCTGCTCCTTTTGATGACATACTGCCCCAGACCATAATGGATGCGGGAAATTTCACTTTTCTCTTCAGACGGTCAACATGGAATGCTTCATTTTTTTGCGAATAACTCTACTGCGACTGTCACCAACACATTGTCTATGTTCGTTTGCCCATCTAAGCCGACTTTTATTTTGCCTATAAACAAGTTGTGCAACTTTAGGGTTTTTACTTCACTTTTTTTATAAGAAAACTTATCTTGCAAATGCTAAATCCCAGTTTGTGGGTCTCTCTATGAGTTGTGGACCTCGAAATTCTCCTTCCAACAGCGTCAATCCACAGAGCACTTAATTGTAAATAATTGGCACGCCTGTTTTTCCGATTATTCTTCTTAATGCTCTTCGGACGGCATTTATGATATTACTTTTTTTCACATATCGTGGCTTAATATTAACTGAACTAGTTACGATATATCTTCTAACAATATTTCTCACAATGTACCGCGATAAGTCTAACAAAGTTGTAATTTCTGAGTTTGATTTTCCAGAATTAAAAAATTTAATTACCAGTAACCGAATTTTCTCACTAACCTTTCCTCTACCCATTTTGAAAACCTTAACTACCCAAAACTATTTTAAACGTATTCTGACAGCTGTGATTAATTAAAACAATTGTCATGGCATTTATTTTTCACAGCCACCTATGCGTTATGGACTTATTTTGCATTGAAATGAAAATAGGTTTATATGCTGTAATTGCAACATGTGTTATTTTTATGCTGCAAATTTGATAAGGGAGTGATAAAGTTGGTGTTTTCTACTATATATTATCAAAAGATTCATTGTTAATATTTTAAGCATACCACCCTGCTACATTTTTATTATTTGTGTTTGATAAGAAAAAAACTGTTTATCTTTTTTCGTTTTTTCTTTCTAAAATGCAAACGTTTTCCGCCCCCCTTGACATCTGCCTATGCCCCCTTGGGAGGCGCGTCTCCCTGGTTGGGAACCCCTGCTGTACGTAATATATGCAAGAAGTTGTTGGTATCTGATAGAGGTGATTAAGACTTATTTAGCTAAGAAATAATGATCTCATTAGGAAGTGTAAACTGGTTTATAACCAGAAATAGGGCAGCACTCTAGAGATATTAACTTCATTCTCCTTGCTTCTAAGTCCTGCCAACCCCTAAATGATGGAGGCTAATAGCAAAATCCATTACTGAATGTTTACGCTAGAGAGATACTAAACGCAGCTGCTTTTAACACCGTGGGTTCATTGAAGTGAGATGTAATCAGAAAAAGGAGAGAAAGCCTAGGTCAAACTTAATATACCTTCTTCGACATAGTTTCCGTAGTCAGGTCAGCCAGGAAGCCAGGACCGGCACTTGTGATCCATCTATTGAATCAAATATATTTTTAGAATTTAATTTGCTTTTGGACATATTTCAGGAAAAAAGTATAACACTTTGCAGATGCTGAAGGGCCACGTGAAGAAAAATGTGTTACTGATCGTCTTTATTTTATACTAAGTAACATAAAAAAGAACAACCAGTTTCATGGATTAGGTAAGCAATTAATTGAAATTTCAGAAAAATTCACCGTTGAAAAAATTAAAGATTTGTGGGGCATGCAACCACAAACAGATTCCGGATTCATTACTAAAGACAACGGTATTCCATCCGAGGTCCCAGCTCAACCGTTTTTTGCACCAAGCCAGTCGGTTACTTGGGCGAGAGAGATAAAACAAACTGAGGACGGTATGATGTAAGTCTGAAACTGTTCATATGGCGATAAATAAGGTGCATTGTGAGATGCTTTCCATGCTCTCAGAACTATCGGTTCGCAATTGATATTATGGATGGGAAGCGGTCCCCTAGCATCAAAAGCCTAATGCGATGAGCTTGGTGTGGGGCCGTTCTTCTGATACACCTTGTACCCCAAACTCTACGTTGTACGGCCTTATCGATTTCCTGTCCGACGACAAACCATCTCCGCATTTAGGCTTCTGTGCATTCGTTAAAGAACCAACCAGCATCACACAGGTCCATTCACCCCCTATCAAACTCACTAAGTAGTTGAAAATATTCTTGTCTATTCACTCTAGGCATAATGAACATACTGAAGTAGCTCCTTACGATGATGCCAATTGTAGCTGTGAAACACAACCATCGTTTGCTTATTTGTAAGAACAGACGATATCATAGAAACTACTTTATCAATATGGTTGAAAAGCTGATCGCTTTCTATCCTGACCCAAACAAACACATACTTAGGAAATTTTCATAATAAATTCATTACTCTCTTCTTTTTTCTATATCACGTAGGACTGGACAGGTTGCTCTACAGCATGCGTCGCGTCATATGTAGCAAAAATTTATACCGTCTGCGGCATGTTCGAGTCAAATAGCCAAGTAATTGCAATGCGAACATGAAAAATGTTGCAGATACTAAAGTAAATATGTCGGGTGCATGCTGCGAAACATATTCCATACGTTCTAATGTTGCGGCACATGTGTCCAGTCACATCAGTTTCTATTTACACAAGCTGCATATACAGGGTGACTTTGAAGTTCAGTCATTAATTTTCAGATAATGACTGTAGAAGGAAGATAAACCAAAATATGTTTGTGTGTAAAAATAAAAAAAAAATGTTACCTTGTTTTATAAAGTATCCTACCGACAAGTATTTCAGGGCGGACCTGTATTTGTTCGTGCGGTCTTGGAGCACCGGCATGCCCTCCCCTGTGAGGTCTTAAGTCACCTGATTCACGAGCCCTTTGTACTACATTAACAAAGGCACGAGGGGTTGGTTGCACTTGATTAAATAAGAATCATGTCCACAAGTTCACAAGTTCAGCATTTTCGTAAACATGTGCCATTTTTTATTTCGTTTGAGACACGCAACAAACACCACTATTCACTCACGCGTTACCGACTGAAACATTGACTGACATCGTGATAAACGTTTCTAATTCTTTCGCATTTTTGTTTCCGATGCGATGAACCGATAAGGCGGATTATATCCGTTGTTGCCAAACACGAGCACATAATATTATTATTGAGACAGGGCGGTACTCAAACTTCTAAAGGGCTATAACTTTGTTAATTTAATTTTACCAGGAAAATGTTAAAGGAAAAAAACATTTCTTTTGATCAGATCTACTCACTGTTAAAATAAATGACTCAACTTAGAAGTCACCCTTGCTGTGCAATATGCACCAGGTACTTTTCTAGATTGGCATTTTGCTGTTATATCAGGAAATGAAACTTTCCAAAAATGTTTTCATCGTGTCCCAAAGAAGAGTATTTATCTATTTCCGTGTATGTCAAATTATTCTTGCTACGCAACAGCTATCCGTGACTTGCACAAGCTATGCAGGTTGCCTACTTTACTCTATACAAAGTCAGTATCTTTCTCTTATTTCTTTGTCTCCAAGGCACAGCTCCAGGGGTGAAGAAATCCTCTACCATATACCATAATGCGGATAATGCTGACTGAATACGATTGCTGTGGCTTTAGGCAAAATGAAGACGAACAGATAGTTGCGCCATTCACTGATAGGTGGCGCTCACGATGTGTGACTTACACCAGTTGCGTGGTACATGCGTGATGAATTTTATGCTTTCAGCAACGGTTGCTGTCATCCCAAATGCATTTCTTTTATGAGGATGCAAAATCCAATGTTCAAATAATATCTATTATTCCTGAAACCTCTTGTGCACTCAGTCATATTTATTTCTATAAAAAAAGTTGAAACCTTCCTCGGTAATGACATCATCTTCGAAATATTAGATTTTTGTAGGCCTGTATATAAGTAAGACCAGAGCTTTGAGCTTTCAGCCAACCTGCTTTACATTTTTCATTTGACAGGCTACATTTCGAGCTCCACAGAAAACACAGGATCGGATAACTGCTAAAGCCATTTCCATTGTGCTCAATTCGAGGCATAGACGTTCACATCAAAAATACGAAATTTCGTTATGTCGAAGATTCTTTAAAAACCATTCAACAGGGATGATATTTTCGAGTTTTGTGTTACTATTTTTAGAAAAAGTCTTTTATCCCAATTTACTTGCACTCCTCTCTCAAAATATTTTATTAGAACTCAAAGTAATACTTTATCGCTCAAAAAATATGTTTGGAAGCTGCTACCAATCTTGTTGATTTTCTAAATTTCTGGATATGTAATGCTTTTACCTGTACTGTTACTTTACGTCTACCACGGACGAGAAGAGGACAAGAAATGATGTTGGGATGAACCCGATCCATGGGAAACACCTACTCTGTCAGCCACATATTCGTGAAGTATAAGCATAAGAAGGACGTTTCTTGTTTGGAACAGTCACGAGAAAGACAATTCACGTTAAATTTTAGATATACTCATTGCATAAAAACTTCATATTAGCAAACTTTCCCAAAATAATTGTAGAGTTTTGTTTTATTGGTGCAACTTGTTCAAGGGAGTATTTAAAACATGGACGCATAAAATAGGTACACCAAATTATGTAGGAAAACTTTATATTCAACAACAAAGAATTAAAAATCGTGTTTTTTGGGAATCAATCAAAAATTTTGGCAGGCACAAAACAACGCTTGCTATTAGGATTTTTAGGTATGCACGAGACCTACAAAATGAGATCACACATAAAAAGATCATACTAAAAGAGTTATGGCCGAAAACAGATTTTGGCACTTTGTTATGTCAAGCAGATACTTGAAATTCCTCACATTCGTAGGATTTATACTTCTTAATAACCACAATAAAATTGGAGTCGATTGATCAAGTAGTTTTTGAAAATTTCTAATTGCTTATCCCAGCAAGTGCCAAAGCCTGCATATTGACTAGGTTTGCGGCCATAACGGTTCTGCGATTAGTTCCTGTTTATGTGAGGTCTCATTTTGTAGGTCTCGTAAATACCTAAAAATCTTATTTCAGGAGTTTTTTTGTTCCTGTCATCACTTTTGATTGAATCCCAAAAAACACGTTCTCATTCTTTGTCGTTGAATATAATGGATTCCCACAAAAAATGGGGTACCCACTTTACGCGTCCGTGTTATAGGTACTACTTTCAGCAGTAAAGCGAAACTCAATAATTATTTCGTAAACCAGGTGAATGTTTGTCTTATATGATTATACTAATTGCTATTGTGAGATAGAGGGCAGAACCTCTCAATTACGAAGAATATCTTTTGATTGAATGAAAGAGTCATGCACGTATCGTTACCACCGATATAACAAGGAGTCACAAGTGAGCTGCGAAAAGACTGTGACGTCACGCTAAGTAGGCCAGTTCATACTCTTATGGCCTTTCGCCATGCTGGCTGGTGAGAGCGGTGTTGACATATCTAGATATGATATAGCAATACTGAAGTCTCCAGTAATTAGTTATACCCCAGTGGGCGAATTTGCAAGATGTAATCGGGGCCTGCGCAGCTTTAATGATGATGTGATTATTCTTTCTGATCTGCCTCAGTATGTTAAGAATACAGTTATTACGATATTACGTTCAATCTGTCACGTGTGAAGTCTATCATTCTATGTTAAACTAGAATATGTGGCAACATGAAATAAGTGGCTAGCAGCCAGCTAACCTCAAATTCTGAGTGGTTATCATGTATGAGTATTATGTTTCTTTGGTTTGTAAACTTCAAATTGTTGTTTTAAGCTTATATTTGTGTCTCAAAATAGTTTCGCTAAGTTTTCAAAATGCCCTACAAGTGCTGCGTTCCTAATTGTGCAGGTAATTACGCGAAATGTCCGAAAGTACACGTATTTCCATTCCTGGATTACAAAAGACACCAGAGTATGCAATTTGCATTTTGCATCATTTGGGAATCCACCAATTGGCCAAAATACCAAGCAGAAGAAGCCAAGATGCAAAACTGATGAATAAGAAACAAGAACTTACTTAAAACACTGCAAAATAGTATAGATGATTCTACCTCTTACCAAAAATGACAATTTTTCAAAATTATTAAGACTCTCACGGTTTTCAGTTCATCTCCAGATGGGCGGCATAAAGTTGTTCCGGATAAAGTTACATTGTTTAAGTTAGAATTTAGACCAGCAGTTATTATAATGCACTCTGTAATTATTCTTAATAAAGATCTCAATGTAAAATGTACTCGCAAGAACTGTTTACTATCTAATCTACACCATTTGGATGGTAATGTTCTGAATGCTCTTGCTCAGAATGTACATGCTTCGAGGGAATATTCAGGAAACGACAAATTCATAGCCACTATCAACCATGCTTATAGTATTTTAAATAGCACAAAACTAATCACCAATGGAGAGATCCACACTGTCATTCAATTTATTTGTGACTGCTAAGGCTTGTTATTAGTCAGAACAACAGACACAGTTACTCGTCAAAAAACCATAGTGCTCTATG